TCTGGTCTCCAAGGATACCTGCACACATGTGGCAGACATAGTAATAAATAAAATAAATCTAAGAAATTTTAACTATTTTTTCCCTCTGAAAGTCGCCAATATTGCTAGGATGGAGAAGAATTTGTACACAAGCAGTTTATCCTCTCGTCTCAGTGATTGCCTGGAACTCACCTTGTAGCTTCAACACTTGATAGAGCTATATCCAGCTACATACTAATTACATGGGAGAGAAGTTATATAATGAAGCGTGTGCTGATGGGTTGAGTCTCTTTTGGGATTAAAACTAGACTGCTAGTAGAGCTTAGAGGTAACCAACGTTCTATTATATAAATAAACATGGCTTCAAAGTTGACAAAACTAAATTTTATCAGAATACTGCAGGTTTAATCATGGGAAGAAATATTGACTGTTGACATTGATATGCAATACATACGTGCTTTCAGCATGGAAAATGCAATTTGTCAGTTAACACCAAAGGTTTTGTTTGGCTAAAATAAATTCTTATCTTTCCAAAATATAGCAATAGCATTTTTTTTTCAGTAGAAGTCTTTTATTGAGCTAAAAGGCATCCCAAACCATGCTTGTAATCCAGGATCTTTTTTCTGGAGCTGGGTAACTTAGATCTTACTCATGAGTCTGCTGCACTGTTCCTTTTTCAGAAACATAGATACCATCCCCAAAATTTCCAGTATCCTTGTTTTTAACTGTTGTGGCATGCTGAATCTAAGCTGCTTAATTCAAAACAAGTTCAATATAATTACCTTCAAGGATTAATTCATCCTTCTGGGCTTGAGAAACAGAAAAAGCAGCGCTTGTCCTCATCCAAACCCTGCAGATGCATTTTTTACCCAAGAAACCTCAAATTTCTCCAGAATAACAATATTGATAGGGAAGTGAGCATCCACAGAGCTCATCTTGTAGTGGAAGCCTAGTGTAACATCCTTGATCATGTTCTGGATATCACTACAGAGAGTTCGTTTAGTAGCCAATTCCTTTCTGTTTCTCTACCGTTTGTCAACTTGGAGACCCTTTTTCTTTCCAAACAGACAGAACTCTACATTGATGTGATCGATGTCCCTCCAGAGGGTTCCTGTGGGGCCTTCACAATAACTGTGTGTCTCTTCAGAGTGATGTTAACATTTTCTGGAATGTTGACAAGCTGATTGCTGAGAATGGTCTTCATTCTCACAGTGGATGCAGGAGAGCAATAGGTTTTTGTCTTAATGTATTTTCCAAAATGTCTGTTGAATAAAACCTAAAAAATCCTAGCACAAAGATAGTTTCAAAGAAGCCAGGCATGGTGGCACACGCATTTAATCCCAGCACTCAGGAGGCAGAGGCAGGGGGAATCTCTGTGAGTTTGAGGCCAGCCAGGTCTACACAGTGAATTCCAGACCAGCTGGGGCTACAGGGAGACCCTGTCTCAAAAGACAAAAAAAAAGTTTCAAACAAATGAAGGTTGATAATAATTATGTATGAGCAAAAAAGTAATGGCTTAAATCAGGTCTATACACTGTGTTTCTATTATTTGTCTTCTGAAATATTTGATGCTATTTACAAGACAGGGTAGGACATAGAGATAATAAGATGGAATCCTCAGTCTAAATGAGCTTATAATTTTATATAAGTGGTTAGGAGAATTCCATAATCACACAGGGTAATAGCATACATTTAAGGGCTATTAGGGAAGAGCTTTAGGAACTCAAAGACGTGCAGACATTTTAACTTGACATATCCATGAAGGTATTCCTGGCAAAGGTAGCTTTTGTGCAAAATTCTGGGTAGAAAGAAAGACATGAATTAAAACTTCCAAAAGAAGAGCACTTCAGAGAATGTGAATTATGACTTTATTAGGATAGTAAATGAGCCAGGTGTGGTGCTGCTCATCTTTAATCCCAGCACTCGGAGACAGAGATGGGGAATTGGAGAGATCTGTGAGTTTGAGGCTAGCCTGGTCTACATAGTGAGTTCTAGTTCAGCCAGGGTACATATTATGTATGTATGTCTCAAAAAAAAACCAAAAAAGGGCTCTTGAATCAACATAGCAATGAATACCTAAGAAAAAATTTTGACAAAGGACTAGAACAATAACTTAATATGAGGTATTCAGAGATAGTGAAATATTTTCATACCTTCATTGGCTAAAAATGAAGTATCAAATGAAAACTGTTTTGGCACATACACAGTTCAGTCCAGTGTTGGAGAGAAAAGGGAGCACATTCATTGATAGATTATTGCTGCAAATATGAAATGGTATATTATTTCTTTTGAAATATTTATTTTTATTTTAGATAATGTTTCTTTTAATTTTTTATTGAAATTTTACCATTTTCATACAATATAGTTGGATGGTATTTAGATATCCTCCCCTATTCATACCTCCACCCACTACCCCTTTGCTCAATTTAATGTATACACACACACACACACACACACACACACACACATATAAAACTTACAAAAATTTATAAAAATAGTATGCCATTTATATGGGTCTTTTATTCAAGTTCACCTAATGTTAACTTCTTACATAATTATAATACAATTATCAATACTATTAATGTTTGTACAGTACTATTAACTAAACTACAGGCTTTATTAAAGTAAAGTCGTGTTTCCATTCATCTATTCTGCTTCGGTATCCAGTCTAGAATCCCATGTTGCCTTGTTCTGTCTCTGTAGTCTCTTGTTAGCCCAACAGTTCCTAGGCCTCTTTCATAGCTTTTTCAAAAATCCCTAGTGCTGTGGTTTGAATGTAGGGCCTTGTGATTGCAAGGCAAGTGCTGTACCACTGAGCTACAATCTCAACTCCTGAACTTGATGATTTTATAGAATATTAGTCAATCCCCTTGTAGAATGCCCCCAGTTTGTGCCTCTCTGATGCTTTATCTATGATTACAGTGGAATTCTTCAATCTGGGCAGGATTATCATGTGAAGGCCTGCTCTCCTGGATGCTCCATAGCAGGGGCTGCTCGATGAGATGATATGTCTTATTACTGTCATGCTAAGCTTGGCCACTTGGTTATGGTGGTGTCTGTCAGGCTTTGCCACCATAAATTCCTTTTTTCTCTTCCTAAGCATACCATGGAAATGAAACTGTCCCTTCCTCAATGTATCAGGCCAGAGCTTGAATGATTTTGGTGTATCTTATAGCTAGTGAAGGTCACTTTGATGACTTTAGATAGTGTCAACTAGGCTTTTCTACAGAAACGGTCTTTTTACCTTGTAATAGATATTAATGCTTATATTTTATCAGCAGATACTGAAGAGGTTCGTTGTGACCATGTAATAAACAGTTTAAACTTTGACTTTTTGCTTATTGATGTTTGTATCTGCCAATTTTCTCTAGCCAATATCAGTTATTCCTGTGATATTCTAATGGAGAACTTCGATTTTCTTTATTCCTTTTAAATTTATTAACTAAACTTCTTCCATATTGACAATATGTCCCTTTTACTCATTTATTAATCTTTTATTTGTATTACTATGGGTTTTTAGCCATTGTTTTATTCTTGGTATACAACTTAATATGATTTATTTTGTTGCTCACATTGTACCAGTTTTGAC